AATTCTAATGTAAAATATTGTATTATATAAGACTATCCAAGATTTTTCTAACGTTCATTGTGATGTAATTATGAATTTTGTATAATACATATATAAAAATGTTAGAAAGCAATAAAATAAATGATTTGGCGAACGTGATACGGTTCGAAGTAGGACACGAACGGCTGTCGTCAGACACCGAGTAAGAACAAGAAATTGTGCTACCGATAAATATCGGCTACGTCACTAATTTATTTTCTTTTTCTTTTTCGATTTTCGTATACTCCTCTTCTTTCCCTTTCCCTCTCTCTCTCTCTTTTCATCTAGATTCAAATCCAGTGATTATATTTTTAAGAACACGCCCCCATACTGAAATTGCGTCACGCATACGTGCCTCCGTTTCTGTGTGCGATTAGCATTTCCAATTCTCAAACGTACGTAAGCATTTATGCGATGTATCTAACCGATTTTGTCTGAATGATAATACATAGAACGTCGAGACTGTTATCTTTTATCTTACAATTAGAAAGATCAACAACGACAAGTCTTTATCTTGAACACTTTATTCGACACGTTTGACTTAGTAGGGGGTCTTGTATAATTGCATCATTTCATTCTAATCTCTTATAATTTGATGTAACTTTAAAGTCATATATATATTATTATTTGTTTTGTTCAATTAAATATTCAACAAAATGATTATTAATATATATATATTTCAAGATCTTCATATGAATTTACTTACTTAACACTTTAATATAGTACAAATATACATGTATTATTAATATAATACAACATATAAATGTTTCTTTAAAAAAATTTGTTTTCTTTTTTCTATTTTTTTTTTTTTTTTTTTTTTTTTTTTTTTTTAGCTTTTTACATTAGAAACTAGACTGTTTGTCGAGAATTATAAATAGAATTTGTTGTTATTCGTAATGTGTCCAGGTCGTATGATGATAACCCGATCTAGTTAGAAGTTGATGTAACAAAAGGAATTCAAAAGAAATAGTGATTGGAAATTGATATTTTGTTACAAATGATTATAAAAGTTTTAGGATGAACAACAGATATTCTTAGTGCATGGATATTTATATGTATGAATTGGTTGGTACGTAATTCCATTATGAAACAACTTTCTCTAAAGTCGGAAAATCCCAGGTACGTTCTCGTGATCGTCAAGGATCAAGTTTTTGCATCATCCAACATTTTACATCATACTTTTCAAACATTTCAATGCACATGCGACAATTAGTTAGTTTATTTATTCTAGATCTATGTTTACTCATCGTCTTCTTATAACTTTGTAATAATTTTACATAATCGTACATAACGTTACAATAATTAATACAAAAAATAATAACTATGTATGTAACAATGAAAACGAAACTTTTTATTGAATTACATCAACGTAATATAAATCATATTCTTGGTTATATTAAAAAAATGATTCATAGATCCTCGATCGAATTTATCATAACACATTTTCATTTATTTTCTTCTAATTGAATAAAAAAAAATGCATTTTTATGTCATAGAATTATGACATAACATGATAAACAAAACATCGGTGAACAAAAACATCAGTTATGATAAATTAACGTTTCCGATACGACGAAGAAACGGCAAGGTCAGTTTCCAGATCGTTTTTCTATCTTTCTACCTCTTTCTCTTTCTGATTTAACTTGCTAAAGTCTTGATTCGATAGGTCAAGAAACTCTCTCTTGTTTTTACTGGGTTTTTTCGCTTTGGTTATGAGGAGTGACGAAGAAAGCTGATGTTTACATGATACGAGTCAAGGTTATTCCTTGCATTTTTGTATGCGTATGCATGATTCCGTGCATTAACCTCACACACACGCGCACACACGCACACACATACACAAACATATACCTGCAAGATTGGAAAGTAAACGTGCGAAGCATGACATCATGAAAGATGTTTACATCTTACTGAATTACTTCTTGGTATCTCCAATTTTTTTAAATACCTTCTTGTTATTTCCAATGTAACAAACAACTTCTTGGTATTTCCACTATTTAAATTTAAATTAAAGAACTATTTTATTTAATAATAAAATACGTGATACATAATAAGGACTCGAATTTTAGTCAATTGTTTTTGATTTATGAAATGAGTCACGTATTTAGAACTATGGTACAAATGGCAAATTCATTTATAAATGAGATATATATATTTCGTAGGAACTTATTTCATTCAATCATTTTGACTCCACTTCTTTTTCATTGATAATTTTTTCTTCAGCGTATGTGTGTTATTTATGATAAGACGATATTATAACATGTTTCCAAGAAACTTCAATTACGCTTTTTAGTATTTAAAAATATCACACCTATAATATATATTTATCATTTTCATTTATAATTGCAACAAAATTAATAATTATTTAATATCCGAACTTTTTTTTTCAAAATATCAATTGCAATTACTGTAATTATGTTGTTATAAAATAATATAATAATTATTACTTTGTGATATTGTATAATATAATATTGTAACTTTACATAATATTATTGTTGATTTTATGCGTAATGAGTCTGATGCAGGATTTCTGAAATAGAATAATCAATTGGAAAAATGACGAATTTACGTTAGAAATTTTGCAGTAATTATTATTCAACGAATTGGATTGTAAACAAGAATGAAGTTCAATCACCAACAATGTTCGTCATCAGATTTAATTTTTTCCTTGTTAAAATCAGACGTCATTGAAACGAAAAAATTGCGCGGAGTAGTAGAGAAAATACTTCGAGGAAAGGATAAATGATCTGCCCAATGATGTTCATTTAATCGAACATTGTTTCTACGTATTTTAACCCAAATAATCTCTGATTTTTTTTTTACAGATAGTTCACGGGGTTAAACGATATTCATCATCTTTATTTATAGATTTCATATATTTTCTTTCGTTAATAAATAAATATACATAAAAAATATAAAGGTAAAATTTAGTTGTTTCTCTTGTCCAAAAATAAAATTATTAATAAATAGGTATCTTAGGGAATTTGGACATTCAAAAGAAATAGAATTTCGTTTTGATAAGTTGGACGTTTCGTCCCTTTATTGGGACTTYTTCAGCAACTGGAAATTTTCTTTTATTGTTATTTTTATATTGTGAAATACACATGAGACCCATACATAATAAAATATTAGATGTTACCTTCATCTCTAAAGTTCAGCGTCTTTTTTATTTAAGCAGACATACATTTTTTTTAATATTCAAAATACTATACATCTACACTTCGTTATCTCTTGATCCGTTATATTTGAACACTCAACAAAACTGTTTCAATCTAGACTAGTGTTTATTAGTCTAGATATCCTCACTGTTAAGGTGTCTTCTATTTCGTTGTTCTATTTATTATAATTAAATTTAAAAATTCCATTATAGATGTTATTTAAATTATTTGTGTCTGTTCTAAAATTAACTGTATTATATGTATATGAAACATCATAAAGATGGCATTTGTCAAAAGTGTTAGATTTTTCATATTTGAAGATATGATTTATTCGGTATATTATATAACGTAAACAGGTATACGAATAGAATTTGCAAGCTTGTTGATTGTGTTGCAGTCACTCCAGGCTCACTTTAACAATTTAAAGCTACTCTTGTTGGATGACGAAACACGAGAGAAATATTGAATTACCAAATTTCGCGAAGATTTTTCTTTGTAGTTTCTTTAAAATGATTATTTAAATTTCAGTCCTATATTATTAATTTTAATATCTCGAAATAACAATACAGTAATCCAAATAAGCTATATTGAATCACATATATGTATTATCTCGTATTCATTAGTGTGTAATACAATATTATTTACTATACATTGTTTGAAATTTAAAAATAAAAATTCGAACGTGAAGTTATTGGAAAGTTATAAGGTCACTGGATATTAATACATAGGTGAACGCTAAAAATTGAACACTTCGTTTATATATTCCATTATTTTGTCAAATTAAAACAAAACAAAAACTGAAAATTTCTATAGAAATCAGATTTTTGGTTATCGATTGAAAAAATATTGAAATGTTTAAAAATTAATTAAATATTTGTATATTAACTCGTGAAATATTATTCAAACTACTTATTTATAATTAAATTGAATTAAAAGTAGTAATCGTTATTATAGGTTGTTTTGATTAGTCATGAGAGAAGAGAATTGGAGCACTTAAGTATATCCTTTTTCGTAGGAGGAAATAGAGGGGATAGAAGGTATAAAGCAAGATATTCATGGTGCGAAGTTCGCAGTCATCGAAGGAAGTGAAATTGAAGTGAATCATTTATTCGTACTTTATTACCGAAGAAAGAATTCGTATCTTACAATTCGAGAGGAAACATCGAATAAAGTAAGTCAATGAAAATCCTTATCGTCAAATTATTTATCAAATGTGTGCCCATGATTATGAAAGTGGTCTAAGTCAAAATTACAAAAAAAAAAAATGAGTTTATCAGTTATTCCAAACAACACTATTTTAAACTAAATTAATTCAATATAATTTTCATGATATTGTCAAAAATGAATCGTTAAATAGTATTTATTATTTCAATATTATATAGAATTCATTTAGTGTTCAAATGTAATCCTTTAAATATCTCAAAACAAGAGATATATGACTTAGATCACTTTCATAATTATGGGCACGTAATGAAAAATTATTTTATTAGACAGTCAACGATATTTAGATTGGTTTGAAAATAGTCAAACAATGTACCTATATGATATAAAACTAATTTTTCTTTTTTTTTCTTCTTGTTTTTTTTTTGTCTTTTTAAATAGAAAACATTCTATCTATATATATATTATCGAATAATAATTCAAAGGCCCGGTTATTTTTACTGAAAAGAACGTTTTAAAAAAGATGTAAAAGAAAAGAAAAGAGAGATAATCGGCAAACAAAGGAATAATTACTGACGAGGAAAACGAAAGCGCAACCCTTGCAAAATTAACCCTTAGAAATGTTCCATCTGGCGGTACATCAGTGTACTATCAAAGCATGGAGCGATTCGCAGGCGTGGACAGAGTCAGTTTTGCCCCTTCTGTCCGTAAGGCAGGTCGAAAGGGGGAGAAAAAGAGTGTAGTCAAATAATTTGTGTTCCTACCGGCTGAAATTTGCACATAATTTGTGTTACGTCGAAAGGATGAACTAGTTTAACTGGTAGTAGTAGTAGATAGTCAAAAAGAAGGGTGTGATCCATTTTTAGGGGTGGGGGGTGGCCATAGAAAAAGATAGAACAAGGAGGGAGGAACCATAGGGAAAACCATAGGGAAAAACCATAGGGATATATGTATATTTGAAGTGAAGACAAACAGGGTATGTTTCAATCCTTTCTTATTATTTCATTATACGTATCTAGATATTATAAATTTTTTTTTTTTCTTTTCGTCCTTTTATTTTTCTTCCTTCTTTTGTTTCTTTCTCTCTCTCTCTCTCTCTCTAAAAATACAGAACTATTGAGAGATTTATCTCATTTTCGTTTAATATTTATATTTTGTCTCTCTTATTCTTCTTCTTCTTCTTCTTCTTTTCCTTCTTCTTCTTCTCCTTCTTTTTCCCATCATTTGATTTTATTCTATATTCGATTATTAATTCATTTTTACACCATATTGAGTTATTTCTTGCAACCATACTTTTAACACGCAGATGCAATTGCGCACGTCTCGAAGGACGCGCGAGCACAGAGTAGAAGTATGACAATATATACGTATGTGTGATAATGACATGAAGTACAAGGTTGCACGTGTCGCTCTACTAGCTCTGTGCCCTTTCTTCGATACTTACTATCGATGAGGATACAATTTTTCTATAAAAATGTACCGGAGTACAAATTTGCCAGTAAAAAATAGAATATAATAAGATTTAACAAAATATATTATTACGATTATTATTATTATTATTATTATTATTATTATTATTTGCGACGATCTTTTATCTTGTCCTTGTGCGCCATCCTCCTATCTTTTCTTTTACATGCATAAAAATTATATTTATAGGTGCGAGATGAAATATTTTATTTTTATTTTATAAATGTAATACCGTATATATATATGCGCGTATTTTCTTACCTTTCGATATTTGAATTTTAATCGTTCGGTTCTCAACAACATTTGGCTCACTATCAGAAGAGACATGCATAAGAAAAGTCGAATGAAAGATAAAATCTGATAGAAAACTCAAAAGGATTATAGACTCATTGTTAATATCTGCTGCTTATGTGTGCGCGTGGTCGTGTGTATATATATATATATATGTGTGTATGTTATGGCGCACGCTTCAATACGTTACAACGAAGTGCAACCTGTTAAACTTATGATAGTTCTATATATTCGTACGTATATATAAATATACATATACACATATACATATACGTAAACATATACATATAGTATAGTTGCTTTATTTTCATTGTAAAAATACCGTCAATTTTAAACACGACAAAGTAGGTTGCGCGAATACGTTATGCATAGGAGATAAGATAAGAATGGAAAGAAATCGTTATGCAGTTTTATCCTTGGATATTATAATATCTTTTTTTTTTTTGAAGAAACAATTAAAAATTAACGACTTATTTCTTCGACACTCTTAAAAAGAAAAAAGTAAAATAAGTGAATAATCCGATCAGATTAACTTTTTATATATATGTGTTGTGTTTGGTTTATTTTATTTTATTACTCGTTTTTTTATTTCAATTATATAGAATTGATATTACTACTGTAAGAAAAATTGTGCGTTCCAGTTGGATCAACAATGAAGATAACGACACATCGAATGAAGAAATTATTTTAAATTTGGATCAACGCAATAAAAGAAAAAAAAAAAAATAAAACAAGATCATCCTACTTGAGTTTTTTTGTATTATTACATTCCAATCAAATTTCAATGTTATTTTGCGTCAATAGGATAAAAAAGTCATGACGAGGGAGTTGATAATATTGTATCAACTACTTTTTATTAATCTTTCTCTTTCTCTCTCTTTCTTTCCTTCTCTTTTTTTCCCCTGCAACTTTAAGATTAAAAAACTTATGTAAGATACGCATAAAAAGATAAAAAAGGCGCGTAAAAGATCGTTAAAATATATATTATAACGTGATTATATATACGGTACACACGTTCATGGTATATCTAACGCGATAAAAATTTCTAAGTAAACCGCAACGTATTTTACAGCTAACGATCTTTATTATTGTTCTTGGATACGCAACGAATATACTTGTTGCACGTGTGGAAATAAGTTTTCTTTTTTTTTTTTTTTTTGAGAAATATAAATTTTTTTTTATTATTTTCACATTCGTTCGATCGCGTGACGATTCCCAAACAACAAAGTCGTGTTCCCGTTAACGACAATCCACAATAGTTTTTTCTTTTTTTTTTTATTTTTTAATTTTCGAACATATTGTCAGTCATTTTTGCGAATTATACGATTGGTTGGGCGGTCCCTTTGAAAGTGGCCCTATATACTCCCTTTTTCATTTGATTTCATCGTATTCCCCGAATCTCTCTTCTCTTGCGCCGAATGTCTGCGCTTCGGTACAACGTCGATAAAGGGAAATCGATTCGGTTTTCATCGTTTCATCGTTCACTCTATACCTATTTATTACAATAACAAAAAACGTATGATATTAAGTGACATCGAAAAAGTATTTAATTTTTTTCATTTATTTATCATTAACTTATAAAAATATCAACGCTATTTTTTATATTTAATATATATTTATTTATTTATTTATTTATAGGTGTTATTTATAAGATCAATGTTTTCCAAATTTTATATCGATCAATATTTTAAACAANATTTTTTTTTATTATTTTCACATTCGTTCGATCGCGTGACGATTCCCAAACAACAAAGTCGTGTTCCCGTTAACGACAATCCACAATAGTTTTTTATATATTTATTTATTTATTTATTTATAGGTGTTATTTATAAGATCAATGTTTTCCAAATTTTATATCGATCAATATTTTAAACAAATGGCCAGTATTTATGAGTTTATAAATTAAATGATCAGAGCCTATATATATATACACTCTGTATTATAACTTCTAAAACAACTCTACTCTCATTTTAAATATCGATCAATTATTATTTATATCGAACAACATATTCATATATACTTTAAACATTTGTTTTTTAAAACATTGTTCAAAAACATCGATTAAGTATTTTTCATTAAATTATTTGTAATTTGTTTATTCATTCTTTTTAAATTTTGATAATTTATTCCTTTCTTTCTTTTTTTTTTTAATCATCTTTCCTCATCACATTTCTTCTTCAGAACACTTAAAGGTTTGTTGTGAACATGACGAGTTCGAGTGTAACCAAGACGACGCAATGCAAATGTTCGTCTTCGAATGTAATAATTAATTCAAGAATTTATATGTATTCAGATATACACGCATTTATTTTATTATTTTATAACGTGATAACGTTGGTAAATAATGGTAGAATAAGAATTTTTGTTTATTTAAATGTGTTCAAGTGACAAGAGTCAGAAGTGATTAACTTTTTCATTGCAGCGAGTTGCACGGTCCTTACGGTTCTAATCAATCAATCAATCAATCAGTCACCCTATTGTTACTTAAGTTCACTAGTAACCACATTATATGTTTAAAACATCAAAGACGATGTTTGTTAAATAGGAATGATAATTTTTTATTTTATCAGAATAGTGGCAGAAGAAAATTAAAATCACATACATTTCTGTTTCTCGCAAATTATCCATTCCCTGTTCTATAGACCGAGTATAACGCCAAACTTTATTACATAAAATATTAACGTTATTTTCGATTTATGAACAAATTGTTCTTGACGAAAGTTTGAATAATTTCTATAGCCACGAAATTAATTTACAATCTTCTATTAAACAATTTTCAAATGTAATTTATATATACGTAATATAATAAAAAATATATAATAATATTTATTTCATTATTCGATGTATTTTATTTTCAAGTAAATACAAAATACATATATTCGTAAAAACACATACATAACGAATTACCTTTTTAACATTATATATTTGAAATAATAAATCCATCAATTGAAACATATTTTCTCGCAAATAAAATTACAAAGCAAAGGATTTAATTACCATTAAACTTTAACACGTTATAATTTTATAAAAGTCAATTTTCAAATTAACAAAGAAAATTTTGTTTTTGACATTGGTTAGCATAATGTGAGTCTCAGAGATATATACACGCATCTACATAGAAACATAGATAAGCGTGAAATATGGGTTACGGAAGGGGTGACATTTCGATATTTATCATGCATAGGTATGGCGACATCGATTATTTTGTGGCATGCTTTCCATGCGCACGTTCACATCGTTGAAAGAAGTATAGCAAACTCGTACCTGTGCTTCATTCTCTATTCGCAATATTGTACATTTGTAACCACATTTTGCATTTACATGAACGTAATTATATTTATAGTATCAAGACTGGCCATTAATGTACCGTATGTAAACTTTTGTCATCTCTTACCGTAATATCCTACGACGTATTTATAGTCTTTTTATAGAACCACTCTATTGGAGAAAAATCATATAAATTATATTTATTATTTATTTATATAATATATATATATATTATACTACGTGCGCGTATTATATAAATACCGAGTGATCCAATATACCAAACAGAAATATCTTATTTATTTTTACTCTTATGGAAAAATCTTGTCAAGGATCAACTTATACTATTTTAATAATGGAATCCTCGTGTTCCATGCTGGAAAAGAACCTTTTCTCAAGGTCATTTTTAAATTTTATTGGAATTTTTTCTTTTTCTTATTTGAAATGGAAATTTATGAATTTTTTCTTTCCATAAATTAACTTCACGTTTTATTATGAAAAGAATGATATATTAGAGTACAAAGTAAGTGTTTTTTTTTTAAACAAATTTATGAGACTAATAATTAGTCGTATTTTGTTTCTTGTAGTTAAAGATAAAACCAAACGTTATAGAAAAAAATGATAAATGATTCGCAGTATTTTATTTATTATAATTATATTTTCTTTTTTTGTATTATTATAAATGATGCATATAATAGTGCCAAGAAAAATTTGGAAATAATTCTCTATATTCTTGGTGTGTTAGTTTAAGTTTTCTAGAACACGCATAAGTGTAGGAATAGTTAAACTACCAAGGGGGAGGATAGGTGAATTTATTCAAGAAAAAATATCTCATGCCAATCGATCTTATTCACGTGAACTGTCCTCACGATATTTCCATTTAATCATTTTAGACAAACAATACAAATACAAAATCGTAATAACAAATAAAGAACATACAAAAATATATATATTTATACGAATAGATCGATCAATATCTTAGAATGTTTGAGCAAACATTAGCATCGTTCTTTGACACATAAATCATAAGATAGTATACTAGGTTTATTTTTTCTAGGAAGAAAATCAATCAAAGTCTATGGTAAAGTAGAAATATTATATGTTGTGTTCTGGAACATCAATCGATTTTTCTTATAAAATAATAATAATAATAATAATAATAATAATAATAATAATAATCTGATAAATAATTTGTGAAGAAAATAATGAAGAAGTAATTGATAATTAAATATGATAATCTAATTTTATATATTCGGATTTGTGTTAATAAGTAGTGTCGAAATATTTACTAGTTCATATTTAAATAAACAAAATTTTCATTAAATAAATGATTTAATATTTTGTGTGTGTATCTAAATAAAAAATACTATTTTTCTTTTTTTTTAAATTAACAAAATTCCTACAATACTTATTGACCAATCCGATATAAATTGTGATTAGGATGACAAAATGAAATAATTATTAATTCTCACGATAATTATAATATATTTCTTATCATTATCTCTTATTTCTTTCTTTTTTTTGTTGTTGTTAAGAGTTAAGGAAGGAAGAGTTTTTTGAGTTATCATCAAAATGGGTACAACAAGTGCTTACACTGATTCGGAATGTATCAGAGATGAGACCAGAGATACTTCGATCGAGGCCTTCTTTGCAGATTCAGTAATATTCGTAACCGGAGCAACTGGTTTTGTCGGAAAAGCTCTCATAGAAAAACTTTTACGATCGTGTTCAAGATTAAGCAAGATCTATTTACTGATTCGTCCAAAAAAGGATCAAATAGTTAAAGAAAGATTTAAGATGCTCATGAATAATTCGGTGAGTTTTAATTGCGCGCGCGTTACATATTTTATTTTAAATTAATAATATACACGTTTGGGATAAGACCATTGTTTTATTCAATACCGTAAAATATATGAAAAGATAGAAAAATAGGTCAAGTTATTTTATCAATTCTCAAAATTGTCAAATAATTATATAAAACTTTATGACTGGATGTTTAAATATTATAAACAAAACGTCAAATAGGAAATAATGTCACTTGAATTGTTTTTAATGAAAATCTTCTAATCAAATTAAAATCAATATTAGATCATTGTGACGATTGTATAACTTTCTGCTTAACTTTACCCATATATGATTATCTAATTCATTATTTTACGATTAAGGATAAATATGGATACGCTAATGGGATTTTTATTTACAGATTTTCGATAAAATTCGTTGTGAACATCCCGATTTAATAAACAAAGTTTATCCGATAAAAGGAGATGTGAGCGAAAGAGACTTGGGTTTGAGTCACGAAGACAAAATGAAATTAACTCAAACCGTAAATATAGTTTTTCACTGTGCAGCTACCGTGCGTTTTACCGAACCACTCAAATTAGCCGTAAAGTTGAATATTAGAGCAACTGATAGGATTTTAGATTTATGTAAATCCATAACCCGTCTTAAAAGCTTTGTTCATGTTAGTACAGCTTACAGTAACGCTGATAAACACGAAGTAAAAGAACACGTTTATAAGTGAGTTAATATTTTTATTGTAATATAGATAAAAAAAGAAAAAAAAAACAATTGATTCAATCGTTGTTTGAACGGAATAACGTGAATGAAAATATTTAATAATGACAAATTAAACAATTTTACAGAACTAAAATAACGCCGCAAGTTATCATGGATATGTGTGAAAATCTCGATGATGATACATTAACGGTATTAGAAACAAAATTACTTGAGAAACATCCAAATACGTATACACTAACAAAAGGTATAGCGGAAGAGCTCGTATCGAAGAAAGGAATTGATTTGCCAACTATAATAGTTAGACCTAGTATAATTTGTGCTGCTTATCAAGAACCACTTCCAGGATGGGTAGATAATTTATATGGTATTACAGGTATGTGACCGGATTATATAAATTACTTATATTTATTTGTCTAAATATAAAATATTATTCAATATTATACTTTGTATTTTGTAGGTATTATAACTGAAATCGGTAGAGGTACCATTAGGAGTATATACGGGGATAAAAAATTGAAAATTGATGTTGTACCTGTTGATTATGTTGTTAATACGTTGATATGTGCAGCTTGGCATGGTACGGTACATCGTAACGGTTCAATTCAAGTTTACAATTGTACGAGTAGCACTATCAATCCTATTAGGTAATTTATTAATAAAAGAAAACAAAATTATTAACAAAATGTTCAACCATGAAAATGTTAAATTTATATTTGTTGTATCTTGTATTTTACAGTTGGGGAGATTTTGCTAAACACATAAGAAAACACGTTATAGAATCCCCATCGAAATATGTTATGTGGTATCCTAACGTTGCGATTAGAACCAACAAATTAATTCATAAAATAATAGTCGTTATATTACACTTTGTACCTGCATTCTTATTGGATGTATTGTTAATATGTCAGGGTAGTAAACCGATGTAAATATTATCAAAGAAAAGGTAACTCTTAAATCGATAAATATGAACATATCTATATAGATTTGTTTATCTTTTATTATACAGTATGTTGAACATGTCGAAACGTATCGATCGAGCTGCAAAAATTGGATCATTTTTCGCCTTACACGAATGGGATTTTGCTCTAGACAATATGATGGATTTGATTAAACATGTTAAAACTATGAACGATTGTAATCATTTTCGTGTTGACTTCAAGGATATTGATTGGGATGCGTATACGCGTCAATATACTTTGGGTATTAGAAGATATATTTTAAAAGATCATCCTGATTCTTTGAACAAAGCACGAAGTCGACTTTCCAAGTGAGTCTCAACTATATTATTCATTTATTTATTTATTCTTTTCTTTGTTAAATTTTTACATTTAAAAAATTGCATTTTTGTCTTTTTCTATGTTACAGGTTGTATTGGCTACGTAAATTAATTCAAGCCATGAGCATCTTATTTTTGTACAAATTGTTAAAATACGTTGGTTAGGAAATATTCTTTTATGTTTTGCTCAAAAAGCAAACAAAAGATTGATTAAACGTCATTAGGAAGAATTATTGTGGCCAATAAAATCATTTATTATTTCATAATTTTGTTCCTGTAGATAGTAAAATCAGCGATTTATTGTAACATAAATTATTTATTGATGACCAATTACGATTTAACGATTTTTACGCTACATTACAGACAAGAAAGTAATATGAATAGAGAAACTGTCGAGACTATAATAAAAATAAGATTTTTCTTTTCTCTACTTAATCCTTAACGCAACGTCCACAAATTATTTAAATGTACATACTTCTTTATAAGAGCAACAATTACGCTTAAACACTTGAAAAAAAATGTACAAATTTGACGTTAGGTAGAGTTCTATAAAAGAAAAGAAAACAAGAAGAGATAAAATAACGAGAGGAGAAAAACAAGACGGACCACCGATTTTTAAACGTTTCGATTGTAATACTTTTCACGCATATCGCATTTATTGTAAATTAATTGAATGAACTGATCAGAAATTTCGCATATTTATTGTAATTTCACCGTTATTCTTATTTATTATTTAAACATTGATTGTATTATATACGATGATAAATAAATACATTTGAAATACTTTTAAACACGTTGAAAATTCAATTCTATTTTATATCTGTAAATGTTTATTAAAGATATTAATAGATTGCTTACGTTGAACGAAACAAAAAAAAAATATTGAAAAATTTGATCTATAATTATTATTAGATATTGCGTCTGAAAACGGGCAACACTCCAGATTAAGTCGATAACACCTCATATATAGCAACCCCGTCGTTCATATGCGTAACGCGGTATTGCCTGTCATAAGGGGTATTAAAAAAATTTATTGACGGTGTACGTGAGTAGAATTACCAATAAGAAATATAAAGCGTTGCTTATCGTCAGGGGCACCAATAAAAACGCGATTGAAGTGAAACTTCTTAAATTTTTTACTTTGATATATATATATATATATATATATATATATATATATAACTTTATTTAATTATTAGATTATTAGTTAACAATTGTAATTAATTTATTTCTCAACTAATTTTTCTTAACTTATATGGATATCATACTATTCCTTCGAATTTCATAATAATATATTTATCTTTCCGATTCTATACCAGTGTCAATCAAATTGGGCAATATCTTCCAATATTTTTTGTCTCTCTTCCAGCGTAATAATTTAACACCTCCGTTAAAAGAGCATTAATTTATTAAAGCTGTAAATAAACATATTTGAAAATAGCAAGCGCGAGCGTCAGAGCTAGCTATTATTATCCCGTACCCCATACCCTTAATCCGCGATACATATTTCCCAGGACATATATTTTTTTTCATTCTCTCTCTTTTTAGTGCCATTTCAACAAAATTTTGTCATCATCGTTGCCTAAGAACTTTCACTTCAAAAATCGAAAAATTTATAGAACGATAATCGTAAAAGTATAATTTAACGATAATCGAAACATGCGCAAAAGTATCATAGCCTTGCATGCGGCAAACTTTATTATTGCAATTGAGAACTAACTGCGTTTTATTGTTGGGAGAGACCACCATGGGTGGTGGTGTGACAGCAGCTTATTAAACGTGTATGTGTGTGTGCGTGCGTGTGATATGTGTTCAAGTTTTCTATTAGTATGCCGATGGTGTATTAGTAATAAATTAACCTTCTATGAAGAATAAATATTGATGTATATACGTGCAACTCATCAGTGCAGTGGACACCAACACAAAGTTAATCATTAAATCAATCGAATTTGCATGATCACGGCCAAAGAGCTGTGAATTGCTGCTGTTGGATGGACTTTAACGTGTTTACCGGCTATGTCAATTACGTGTAAAATATTTCTTAATATAATGAGCGCATGGAAATTGTTGCAACGACGATGTTACGATATTCTTTCGTACAAATATTCGCTCCTGGTGATACTAATTGCATTTACCTGCATATTCATCGGTATCATACACTTCGGAGAGGTTAGGATTCACATACGAGTAACTAATATTTATTCGTTAATTTATTTCTTTTTCATTTATTACATTCTATTTTTATCTTCTTTCGAATTTTATTCATTAAAATTATGATTTAGTTTTATGATATATTCAATTTTAAATGACTATAATTACGTCATTGCATTATCTCGTAGATAAACTTAATTATATTTTGGAGGGAAATTTGTAAAATTATTTATTGTCGGCATTTTGGATTCTTTCTAGTATTAGAAATATTTTTTATTATTTTTCTATTAAAAAATAATTTTATTTGTTTTTATTTAAAAATATTTATATTTTTTATGTATTTCTATCAAAATTCAAAATAATTTGTGTTAATTTACTATAGGTTTGGTTGGCATGGAGTAAAGAAAAATATGAAGCTGTTTTTCATTCCTTCAATGACAATATATTAGGGAAATCTTTTCAAAAGAAATTGTGCCAGCATGTACCTATTGATGTAGTCTATACATGGGTTAACGGATCTGATCCACATTTTTTAAAAAGTCTTCAAAAACATATTCCTATTACTGATAGTAATACAGTTTCTTCAAGGTTCAGCGATAAAGATGAGTTAAGATATTCTTTGAGATCGTTAGAAATGTATGCGCCTTGGGTCAGACATGTTTATATCGTTACCAATGGGCAGATTCCAAGTTGGTTGGATATGGATAATCCTAGGATGACTCTTGTTACTCATGATGATATTTTTCTTGATAAAAGTCATTTACCAACTTTTTCTAGTCCAGCTATCGAAAGTCATATTCATAGGTATATTGCTTAAATTTTAATTTTTTTCTATTTGTCAATACACAATAGATAAATTGTACATTGGTCATGTAAATGATTTTGTATTTCTAGAATTCCTGGTATTTCTGATAAGTTTCTATATTTTAATGATGATGTAATGCTTGGCGCTGAAGTATGGCCAGAAGATTTTATAACTCAAGCGGGTGGTCAAAAAGTGTATCTAGCATGGTGGGTTCCTGACTGTTCTGATATTTGTCCATGGGCTTGGGTAGGTGATGGTTCATGTGATCCTGCATGCAATACAACTCTATGCGAATTTGATGGTAATTGGCTTTTACAATTTTTGATGACGGTATGATTTATTTGCATTTTTATAATATCTTTCCTATTTAGGCGGAGATTGTAATTCTACTTTATTATCTACTGATAGTGAGCCATTCGAGGAAGAAAATGATTATCCATATAAATACTTACAAATAATAGAAGATAAAAATAAATCTACTACTATGTTATACGGTAACTCAGAAGTAATAAATAATAGCGCTGTAGTTGCATCGGTGCATACTGCAACAATTACTCATAGAACATTAAATTCAAAAAATCATAGTTCTTCTACAAGTGATATTAAAAACCTTTCTGATATCAAAGAATATTATGATAATAATAAAACAATAAGACTCAGCGAAAGCAATGACTTACCTGATAATATACTTGGAAATTTTAATCATACTAAATTACATATACAATTAAAACGCTACCTCAATGATGATATCATTAATCTAGTACAAGGAAATAACACTATTAAGTCAAATAAATTCAAGTATAGCGATCAATGGAAACATAAAAAAAGACAGCTTGATACGTATGCGGAATCCTTGCTGCATGTTAATAAAATATATAATATAATTTATGGCTTTGACAGAAGAAAAGTTCCAGCTCATATGCCACATTTGATAGATAAATGGATTGTTAATAGTATGCAAAGAAAATTTGAGTCTGATTTTATTAAAACTTCTAGTCATAAAGTGAGAAATCCGGAAGACATGCAATTTGCATTCTCATATTTCTACTTTTTAATGAGTGAGAACCTGTACATACCGGTTGGAGATATATTTGATAAATTCGATACTGATAAATCAGGGTAAGAAATATTACATCATTTCATTTCATTTATAGTTAACTTATAATAAATATAATAAAATAATATTGATATATATATATATATATTTTTAGAACTTGGTCGGATAGAGAAATACGAACACTTTTATCTAGATTGTATCCTTTACCATTAGATTATAACTTGGTTGTAGAGTTTGAAGATTCAATTATTAATTGTTCAAAACATTTGATACTTAAAGAAGATATCAAAGCACCACCTGGTGAAAGATATTTAGATTCTACTTTGGTTAGTAAACAATAAAATGTAAAATTTGTTGGCTAATATTATTAAACGAAAATAATGATCTTTTTTATTAAATATATAGCCTGTAGTATCTAAAGAATTAATATCAAATTGTGATTGGGTTGCATCAAAAATTGAGGCAAAATTTGGCGAATGTAAACGTTACAAACACGAAGTTATAAAAGCAGGAAAAAATGAGATATTTGAAATGTTAACCAGTAACGTGTCTCTAACTGTGCAGCTTTTAGATGAGATTAGACGTGATCCAAAGTAAGTTTTACTTTGATGTATTAAATAAAAAAATAACATATTAATTATAATTTTGTATATATTACAGAAAATTTATATGTTTAAATGACGATATGGATCCGTCACGTAATTCAGAAAATGAAGTAGTACGAGCATTATTGAATGATTTTTATCGTTCGTTGTATCCTTTAAAAAGTACATTTGAACTACCTCCACAATTTCGTAATAGATTTTCTTATCGCGAAGAACTTATCGAATGGAGATCAAATCGTGCAAAAACGCGAAACTTATTATTATTGCTCATAGTTTCATTATTTATTATTACGATTTATCATTTATCTTATTATCATATACGAAGAATATTTCGAATTCGCACATTACCTACTCTTCTTATATAATTATATCTAACGAACAGATATTTTTTCAATATTGAATTATTCGTATACATATAAGTTTTAATAGTAAGGTGAGAAGAGAAAAAGAAAATAGTCGGTCAAATCGGTATAATCCGATTTATTTATAGAGACACTTACCTTCAGTTAGAAGAATTAATCAGATTTTATCTCAGGAAAAATATTAATTATACATATACTCACACACATGCAATTTTTTTATTTTTAAGTGATTTACGTATTAATAAAAGAAAGAGAAAGAGAGAGAAATAGAAAGAAAGAAAAAGAGAGAGAGAGAGAGAGAGAGAGAAAAAAAAAGAAAGTTATTTCAGTAAACAAATTTATCATTCAATCATAAAACCATTCTTATACGGACATTTTTCATTATTAAATATAAACAATTAACAGTTGGGGTTGTATGCACATATTTACAACGAATTTTTAAAAAAGTGAAAAAAGAGCAACACATTGTTATTAGATAAAAATTATTATGATATACTGTTGAAAGTATGTGATACTTTGCATGACTTTGAGAGATTCTTTTCTAAAAAATAAGTAACAGCGTCTTAACTGTGATATGTGATAGATATTAATAATTATCTTTCTATGAAATAGAAATATATATGTATATAATATTGTTGATCTTATATAAATAACAAATTTTCATAGGTAAAGAAGAAAAGGAAAGAAAAAAAAGTTAAATAACAATTTTCATAGCTTTTTCTTCTGTGTATTTTAATATCTAAATATTAAAAACGTAAAAATACTAATTTTAAGTGTAACTGAAATATTTGCTAATCATGAATGATACAAAATGAGTAAACTATATAATAGCTTAGTTTTTATGTAACGCGTGCAAAGGATATTACCTTATCAGTTTGTTATAATTTTATTAAGTACTATGATATTATTATTATTTAAAGAAACAGTAACTAAAGACTTGAGTACAAGCCAAATTTTTATTTGTACAAATCAATTGTTTAATTTTTTATATTCTAGTTAGATATAACTGATTGTGAGTGGTATATTTTATTTAATTAATTGATATTTAATATAGTCAAAGTAAATGGCTTCATTACTTAACATATAAAGTGTATATATTAAGAATAAATAAAATTTGCATATCTATATCTATATATAAATGTTCCAAATAAAATTGAAGAAGAAACAAAACTAGTCATTTACATCTAAATAAAAATAATAAGATAAATATGTATTCAGGTACACGATGTTGAACAGAAGATTTTTTTTCTAAGCTTAATCGATGATACATTGTACACAACAGAGAGAAAAAAAGAAAGAAAGATAGTAAATAAAATATATTTACTAATAATAAGTGAATATATACGGGATGTCCTGTAACTGATGATACAAGCGAGAAGAGGGTGACAAATTTTCATATTTATTTTTCTCTAAAACAAAGCCTTGTATAAACAAATTTTATTTTACATTTTTGATTTAATTTTTTTATGTAAAATCACCTTCTGCTCGCTTATACCATCAGTTACAGGACACCCTGTATATATTCATAGAGTTGATATATAATATAATATGTGTGTCATATAATTTTTATTAATATATAATTATATTATATATTAACTACGTTTAGAACAAATAATATTATTTATATAAAAGTGTATATGTACAAACGTATGTCAATAACAAATTTTCTGTAATTAAAAGAAAATACAACAAAAAAGAACAAAAAACCATAATATTCTAACGAAGACAATACTGGTGATATTAACAAGAAATTATCTCGACACCATTTTCTGTGCAATTATAAAGAAATCATATAGATATATATATATATATATATATATGTATACATACATATAAGTATAATACTTGTTATATGACGGCTGCACCAACATATATATGTCAAATAAACTACATATATGTCACTCTTTATATACATGTATTAAAACAACTTTGAAATAAACTCGATTTGTTTTATGCTGATAACAAAAAAAATTAAAATATTAAAAAACAAATAAAAAATATAAATTAAAAACTGTGGCAGATTTTTTCAGAAAAAAATTAATCTACGTTTTGAAACGCGTTTTAATAATTTTATTATGGAACAAGCTAACAATAAAGGAGATTCAAATTGACTAATTGTAGAAATTTCAAATACACTGTATACATTACTATCATGATTTAGATTGTTTTTGCTTACATAGAGGAGGACATTGAGGATGTCGAAGATTGCGTGGACCTATCATTCCTTCTTGTAATCTAGCACATTCGCTCATCCATATAGCAACACTTGCTACGTCTTCTGCAGATAAACGAGGACCTATACCTGTAACACGTAATATATTACAACCCCATATGAGCCGTTTATTTCGAAAATGGCCTAAGTCCATTTTTCAGTTATTTACTGTAGTAACATTTGCGGAAAAAAATGGACTTAAAAAATAAAATAAGAAAAATAAGATAAAAATTAATTAGTAAATTAATAAAAATTAGAATTTAAATTGTTAATAAAAAAAAGATATACCTGGAATATTTGGATAATACGAAAGTAACTGAGTATTAGCGATTCTGAATTTTTTTCTTTCTTTAGCTATCGACACGTCACTTTTATTGGACGAATTTCTTCCATTTTCGTCATCGTTTGTTACGTTCTTCAGTTTATCTTCGCTTTTAGATGATTTCGTTTGAGAATCTTCCAAATTAAAGGATTTACTTGCTTCTATTGTAAAATCAGAAGCATTGCTATCCTCTTCGTGTTTCAATGTTCTATCCGATGAGGATTCTTCTGTGTTATTATTACTGCACGAAATTTTATCTTCGACATTATTCGAATCCTCTACTCGGGTCGAACAACTTCTACTACTTTCTGGCGATAAGATCGCTAAAGAGAATCAAATCGTTAATTAAATATTTAATTTATTATTTTAATTCATTTTTATTTGTATTAAAGTAAGAATTCGAAAGTTATTTACTGTTCGATGAATCAGCAGCTTCCTTAGAGATTAAATTCAAATCTAAATTAACATCAGCTTCGGTATCTTGACTAGTAATCGAATATACTCGATCAATGGAAATATTATCAATAGATTCATGTCCTTTCGAAGATGAACTACTGTTAGATTCGTCGAATACAAGAAATTCTGTTGGATCTTCATCCGATGAACTTCTTTCGCTACCATCGCATCTAAGACCGGCTAAATATCTATAAATAAGATTAAAATAATTCGAATGTATTATTTTTGCTATCTATTATACTTCTATTTATTTTGTCAATATTTTAAAAATGTTTTTTCTTCTATATATTCTGTAAATATATCTTTCTTCTAATATTTTGTAAAATACATTGTTAATGTATACAATTATTTTGTTGAGTATAATTAATAATTTGTCAGTATTTTAATTAGATAATCAGTATATATATTGATATTATATAATTATAAATATTGATCCAATATAAATAGGAGTCATATTTGAATGTATTATATTTAAGAGATTTAGTGTTCTATAAAACGCACAGACCCATAAATTTCCATGAATAATGTAACAGGAACCATGGCCGATCCACCATCGGGTTCATGAGTAAATAATTCACAGATCATAATCATTGTCTCACGTAAACTAGATCCTAAAAGGCCAACGGCTATTGCCAAAAATTTTTTCACTTGGCACTTTCGACGAAATTTTCCTATCATCATTATTAAATTTAATTCTTTACGATCGAGACACAAGCATTCCCAACGACGTGAGATAACATCGACGGGTAAAGTCTTATTATAATCTAAAAAAAAAAAAATGACCAAATTTATTCTTTCATTAACTTCTTATATATATTGTACATTTCTTACTTAAATTATTTTTATTTATTTTTTTATCTTTATGTAAGAGATAATTATATATCTCTCATATTACTACTTACAAAGAGTAATGTTGTTTGATAATTATTATTATTGTCTTCTTATTATATTCCAATTATTTCTACATAATATTTTATCTTTATATACTATAATTAAAATCTATTAATGTGTGACTAACAAGGCACGATTGTTCAACAATTTAACTTTATCTACTTCTACTTATTTTTCAATTATATATTCAATGTAATTAAATAAATGAAAAATATCGTACCTCCAAATTGACGAAGAAGAACTCTAAGGAATCCGAGTGTTAGACCAGAAGCTGTACTTGGTGGTGGATATTCTAATCTTAATTTAACCGGTGGTTCCTCGCCATCAGCCAACGCACGAAAATACGCACTGGACCATCTCAAAAGATCATAAGGTTGAGTTCGTATAGCTGCTTTACAAAATTGTTTCAATATCGTTGGTAATCTTGGTGGTATTGTTACTTTCTGATCAGAAGTCCCTTGTTCTATCAATGGCATTGTTGCTTTGATAGATATTTAATGAACCAACATGTAGTCACAATTAATTAATGTCTAACTTATCAAATTCAAAGTTTCAAGTAGGAATCGCGTGGATAAATGTTGGAGCATAAATGAGAGCTGTGGCTTAAGCTCATTTTGTTGTCCTTTCTTACTATTCTAGATCACCAAGGAAACGACGTTTAGTAAAACGGTGTTGTAAGGAAATCAATATTCTAAGCGAGAAACACGTGTTCTAATTTTTAACCTGAATACCAATAGTCTTGTTGCATGCAAATTGGAAAACAAAAATTCAAACAGAATTGGATTAATAAATTTATATAATATAACAAAATAACAAATGAGATAGAAAAATATAATCATTTACAATGTTAGAACAAATTTGTTTAGAATTTTATTTTTATTTTATGCGTGTGTGAGACGCACAAATGTAGTACATCCCCCGATGACAACGCAAGGGATATCTAGACCTGTTAATATTATCAAACTAGGGTTGTGATTACGGCCAGCATGCGGGTGCCCAGCTTTGAATTTGACCGCACTCCAACATGGAATCCCACGATTTTCTACGTCGAAGAACTTTTTCGAACAGTCATCGACTTGCCATCACTTTTAGCAGAATTAAGTGTTGCATTTAGGAGTACTGTGATCCAGAAGGGTACCCGTATACTTTTTTAGCTAATATCGATGACGTGTTGTAGGGTAGCACGCGACTATAATTATATCATTAAATTACTAAAGCGTGCCTATTTTCCAGGGTTAATCTAATTCTCGTGTTAGTGTAATTGGGATTATTAGAACTCATATAATTTTATATAAATTTGATACACGTGTATTGTATTATATCTATCGGAAGATAATATATTTTATTACAAAAAAAAAACAAATTAAATGCGTGCATGATAATTATGATATATAAATAAATCGCATATGTTTAAATATTACCATAACATTTATAAAAAGAACATCATATTATTTGTGGAATTGTGTCAAGTTACGATTTAAAAATATCGACCATGACGAAACGCGACTAACGATTTTTCCACGAAATCCTATGTCGCATCTGCGTACTTATTTCCAGCTTGTACACCCTTCGCTTGAGAAAATCCAACGAAATTCGACAATACCTCCAACGGTTAACTCGTGAGAAACGCGAGGGGAAAAAGTCTTTTAAAAGGAGAGCATTTTCTTCTTGCCTAGAAGCTTCGTATTATTAAAAGAACTTAACGTATATAAATACATTTTCCCTATTTTCTTTTCAATCAATTATACGTACACGCATATGTATGTATGTATGTATACGTATAATCTGTATTAAATCAACGAAAGAATTCAAACGAGAAGAATTATTTAAATTTTCACACGGTCTCGATCGAATACCGCCATATTTAAAACCCGTTTCGTTTGATATTACGAAAGGGATGATGATGACGACGACGACGACGAGGATGATGTCCTGAATCTTCCCCAACAAAAAATTTAACAAAAAATCTAAACAAAGTGAACAAGGATGAACGAATAAAAGACGTTCCCACAGTGTCTCGTCCTTATGGTGTTCTTATTATGTAAATTTCTAGGAGCACGTGCCTCGCTTCGGTAACGTCTTTTCTAACAGTAGGATCACGTAGTTTCTTATTTTATTTCTATGGCAGAGAGAGAGAAAGAAATAGAGAAAAACGGTCCGTGAATAAAAATGGTCAACGTCTAGTAAGACCTGTGTAACTGGATACCAAATCTTGCCCAAGGGCAATTCGCACGGCTATTTAAATTATTGTAAGTGAACGAAGAAAAAAAAAAAGAAAAAGAAACAAACATATTTCGTCGATTTAACTTCCAGTTCTTTCGAATTTAACTGCACGTTTCTTTTAAAAAAAAAAAACAAGTTCAACTAACGTTCTCATTCATTATGTAACACTTTTGAATTATTAACGAAATCCGTTGAATTGATTTATATGCATATGTACGTATATATCTCGAATTTGATATCTTTAATTAGATTTTATAAATGATTTCTTATTTCTAATTATTTTCATTTATGATAACAAAAATATTCATGTGTTGTGGCGTAACGTTTCAATTAAATATTATTGAAATGTAACAAATTATATATGCTGAAGTGAACAAAAAAAATAATATTTCATTTATTATTATTATTATTAAAATAATTAAAAATATACAAATATTTCGAATATATCAGAACATTTCTAATAATGTTAATAAATTTAAATGTCAGTTAGAAACATACGTCGGTTATAAGTACGGATAAAATCAGTTTATCTGAAGCAAGGAGTGCACCTGGAAGTTAAGGGGTCCAGTTGGTGAATCTGTAGGGTAAGTTCCCATAGTTCAAGGGAAAGAAATAGAAAAGAGAAAAATCGAACTTTTACGCAAGCAACAGGCACGAAACGTAGGAACAGGTATATAGAACCTACTGACGGATATCTGTTAGGGGGTCGATTTCTCCCCTTGACAGGGTGAGATCACGAACATTGCTTTGGAATAGGGGAAAACAGGACCAAATGCAGAAGAAGAAGCAGAAGCAGAAGCAGAAGAAGAAGAAGAAGAAGAAGAGGAGGAGCAATTAAAAAAAAAAAAGAAAATAAAAGGAAGGAAGGAAGGGAGAGACCGGTCCTGCAGAATAGAAGGTAGTATTGTGTTGAGCCCTTTTTCCCAGGACCTTCTCTCCCCCAAGTGTACGAATGAGACCCACATGTGTGTCCTTGGGTGGGGCCCTTCTTCCAAAGTATATAAGGACTGCCAGTGGCAAACAGAAGCACAGAACAGCTCGATCGTCTGTGGAGAGAGCATCGAGAGAGCATCGTGAGAGCATCGTTACAAAGTATTGTGGCTCTCTCCTCTCTCTCTCTCCCCCCTCTTCTTTACTTTCAATCTTCATCATCGTCATCGTCATATTTGGACATCTTCTACCATAACGGGAGTCAGCGAGAAGGAAGAGCCATGATCAACCAACGGTGTTAACACGATAAACAAAGAAGAAGAAGAAGGAAGGAAGGAAGGAATCAATCAAAATGATTCAACTATCTAATCGGAGGTGTTCCTATTATTTTTTCTGTCGCAGATCAATCAACCTACTCACTTGGAGAATACTATTAATGGTGAGTCTTGTCTCGGCTTTTTATTTTTTTTATTTGAATACAACTATATATCCAGCATATACGATCTTGGTGCTTCGATAGACTAAACTAAAGTTTGTGATATATATTTATCTTGATTTTATTTTGACATTGATATTATATTTTTGGATCTTTAAATAATCTACGCTGTTCTGTTTCGTGAATTCTTGAAAATATTTCTATTTCATCTATCGTCTTCGTAATTATTTTTTTGAAAGGATCTTTGGTATATATATATATATATTTGTTTTCAATAATATATACTTTCGTATATTTTATGAAGATGAGTGTATTCACGAAACAGAATATCGTGATAAACAAATTAATTCGTTTAAATTAATTAACATTCGAAATTTCATGACTCGGCCCTACTCTATCCAGGTACTAAGATCCAATCAAAATTATTTAACTAAATTATCGTTTAAATTCATTTTATTCTTTCATTTGATTTATTTTCCTATTTCCTTATGTTATTTTTCTTTTTAATTTCCTTTTTTTTTTTTCTTTTTCTTTTGTTATGTTAAATCCTTTTTAAGTTTCTTTATTATTTAAGTAAATGATTATTTATTTATATTTTATATAATTTTATTATTATTTAGTTTAATATATTTATTTTCCTTAAAAGATGCACACACTTACACTCTCTCACGCACACAAACTTGTCTATTAGAAAATAGATATATGTAGATAAAAATCTGGACATTTTCATCTATTTTGAACCATTAATTTGGTAATTAGATTCCTTCAGTTGATATAAATGATAGATTAATACCTATTCAACAGTTGTGAATCATGTACACACGCGAGATATCTAATCATTTTTATTTCTTATATCGTCCTGTACCTTTCACAAACACTATATTATATAGACACTAACTATCTTAGAAATCTCTTCTATATATTAGAGTAGTTAAAATATTTTATTCCAAAAGCAAAAATAAAAAAGATAAAGTATTACGATAGTTTGGCACGGTAGTGTAAAACGCATTAATATTCCTAATAACGTAGATCATAAATAAAAGAAGCACAAAAGTGATTCAAAGAATGGCAAGAAATGCATAAGTATTATTTACGTATCTGCTGCACATTGTATTATCTTTCTATTATTACTCTCTATGACTATTACTATTATACTTTTTTCTTTTTACATTTTCGAATGTAAGCACGCCGCTTAGTAGTACCTAAACACGTACCTGTTACTGTACATTTTTCATAATCATTGTCTCGTTAAAATCATTTCCCTTTTTTATTTTTCTCTCGATATAACGTAAACAAATAGAAAACATTCTTTTTTCTAAATATAGCTTTTTTGATATCGAGCCTTTTAGCATGGTAGTTTTATAAAAAGAAATAATAATTCGAACCATGAGATGCATCCTGTAGTATTATCTATAAATTTCATTTCTACGTAGTTAGTGCTCAAAGATTTCTTTAAGAACTCGTTGGACTTCGTTTTATCTGTGGGATGTCTTTTTGTGAAAGAAAGAAAAAATATTAACAAAACAAAAATAGAAAGGAACGAATGGAAAAAAAAAAGTAAAGAAAACAAAGAAAATCCAAATTTTTAACACCGTCGCATGCGAAAGTAAATATTACATTTTATAAATACAATCCTGTGATGAACGGTTTTTATCCTTTTTATAGTTAAAATAAAAACATATATGTATTTATAAATATATATATATATGAAAAAGAGAGTAACACAGATACGAATACATGCAAAAACATATAATAAAAATAATAATTTGTTGAAAGGCATATCACATCGGATATACTGGCCAAGTTGTCGTCAAGAAAATGAAAACAAAAAAAACAAACAAACAAAAAGAAAAATGTTTTTTGATTCAAGTCTGGCAGATCTTAAAATCATCTAGAGCATTTATATATTTTTTCCTTCTATACATATATATTTTCATCTTTCTCTCTCTTATATTATTTTTATTCTAATTTATTTACACATACACACATAAATATATATTATATATATAAATATATATAGAAATATTTGATAGATGATACGAACACGGTCGACGACTGAAGACATTGTGAGAAATCTTGAATTGAGAAATGTGATTATAGATTATTATTATTATTATTATTAAAAAAAAAAACTTAGAAATTAATAATGCAAGACTGATTTATATTAGACACATTAGATTTTATTCTTTTATAATACAGTCCTGTTTTTTCATGCATTGAAATGATATCAATATCACGTAAACGCAATAATCAGAATGACATAAACCAAGAAATACTTTGTATTCTGTAACCGTGACATATTTGCCATTTTTATTTTGAAAGAGTAGAAAACATATACGATAATTGTTTTTTAACATAACTGCAAAAAAATCAAAATTCATTATTCGTGAATTAAATGTTTTCATAATATAACAATATAATTACACAAATATAGTCACTTCGTCATAGAATATTGAACAAGTATTATGACATAAATATAACTATGATATCGACACAAATGAAACACAATTGTGATTTAATGAATTAATAATAAAAAGGCATAGTTGTTCGATTTGATAAATTCACGTTGAAATATATTTCATATTTGACATTATCTAAATTTCGAATGATTTGAAGGAAACGTAATTTGCAATAAAAGAAGGTACTCTGTTTTTATTAAATTAAAATCAAATATCTGGATTAATAATATTTACAGTATTAGAACAAATTAATAAATAGATTAATTGACAAAATTCAAATCTCTATTAATCAGATTAACAAAACATATTGCATTGAATTCAAAAAAAAATTCTTTTGATTAAAATAAATTGTTAAAATTCACTCAGAAACACGATCAACATTAAACGAAAAATATTACACAAGAAAATAATAAATTAGATATATCATTTTTACACGTAACTTATAATAGTTAAAAATTTCATGGGAGTTTTCATTATCAATCATTTTCTCAATAAAAACTTTCGGCTTTATTAGAAATTAATTAAATTTTTCAACTTCACTGGCACCCTTTGATCATTATATACTGGATTACAATAAACAAATTTTTAGAGATCACTGATATGTTATAAATTTGAAGTAGAACAGATTATTATAATCAAAATATTGAATTTATATAAATTTATGATCAGACCACTTTCAGAACACACAACATTAATACATACTTTCGCTTACAATTCAGACCTATGTTCGTAAATATTAAAAAACATATAAAAATAAATTGCTTATCAATCGAAAAAGTTGAAGACAGGAAGGAACGAAATATTCTTTGGACATAATAATTGAAAATAATATCACAGTCAAATTTTAAATTTCATTTTTTCCATGATACAAAGTACAGAATATATTTCGAATGCACTTAAATATTTTAGAAAGAAATTTTCAACTATAATAAATAAATAATTGACAAATAATTTGATTTGGAATAATTGAGAATAAATTAACCATTTTGACAATTTTGAGCAATAGAAACAAATAAGTCTAAAACTTGGATTTGGAATAATGAGAAATTTAACAATTTGGAACATTTGGAATCATAGAAAATATAAATATAAAAATATTGAACTTGGATTATAACAAAATATAATACAACGAATTGATGAAATATATTTCAAAATTTTATTGGTCATAAAAATTACAAAAATATTATTTTTGGACGTTACAAATCTCGAGATTATTTTCGGCATCATCAAAATCCGTTTCTATTGGATCAAGTATAACTGAATATCAACAATTCTAATTGGTATATACAATCGATAAGCATATAACAAAAAAAATATATATATATATAAAAAGAAAAAACAAATTATTTTGGCAATATCATCAAAATTCGATTTCAGTGATTTCCTAAGAAAAGAAAAGTTAACCGATAGAAATCAAACATAATAATCAAACATAAACGAATTTGACAGAACAGATCCATTAACAAAGACTCTGATTAATTCATATTTCATGAAATTATAAATCAAATCCTAATGAGATCTCCTAATAAATAAATAATATAATAGAAGACAAATTAGATTAAAAAAAAAAAATTATAATTTATAGTCGAACATCTCTAATTGACAATTAAAAATTGAAATCGCGAAACAAAGCAAAGTATGTGTCTCAAGAAAAAAAGAAGCAACAATGATTCACCGTATTAAATATCAATTTTAATAAACCATTGGCTAAAATATATACCGAAACGATTAGAAGAAAAAGAAATAAAATAAAAATAAAAGCAGTTCGCATTACAGAATCTGTTGAATGAAATAATAATAATAATAACACACAATATGACAATAATAATAATAATAATTAATAATAAACAAAAAATTGAAATGTTTACTCACTTCCGTAAACAACTACGTGGCAATATGGAAAACAATGTTAATTATACGCATATTTATTCATCCATTGTGTACATACTTCCGTAAGAGCAGCCGGTGTGACGATTATTCCTTTTTTCCATTGACCATTCGAACAACCGGAAGTGAACTACCCCTGGATCGTATTCTCATAGAGTAAATAGCGCGAAACGAACGTTTACCCCTCTCTGATTTCATACGACTTACAAATTATATTCCTGGCATCGCTGTGACGATAGAAAAAAAAGAAAAGGAAAGAAAGAAAGAAAGAAAAAACAAACAAGAAAATAGATTTAATTGTATACATCCAAATTTCATTTAAATGCAACCAAAATTACTACGGTTTTTTGACATAATCTGATTAGTATTGTAGACTTTCAAAAATATATTTCATTCGTATTACTCAAAAAAAAAGAAATAATTATTCATAAAAATATACTTCTCTTGAAAAATCATTCAATATTATTCAGATATAATTGAACAAATAATACTGAAATTTATTGAAACCGATCACATCGAAACCAAATGTATCATAATTCATTTAAAAAATATCATTTCAAATAATAATCAAACAGCAGATGTCCCATTTAAAAAAACAACCAACTTTAACTTGATAGAAAATTAACAGTAACTCTTTGTATTAAAGTATATTTATAATTAAATAATTTCAAAATATGATATTTGTTAAAATTCATCACTTAAAAAAAACACACACGCACAAAGACAGAGAAGCAGGATAAAATCTTTCCAAGTTACGATTTTCTAGGGGTAGAAATTTCATGAAATTTGATACACCTAAAACATTTGTTTAGCATCCTTTCTATCTGCTAAAAAGTAATTTATTCATTCAACCGTACGCGAAAATAGCACACATACCTGCATCATTCACCGAAGATTATGAGAATTTGTTACGAAGTGTCTCATTTGGAAATGTTAAATTCAATAACAGAGTTACGTATTTTCTTTTTGTCATCGAATTAATTGATAGAAAAAACAGAGTACCTTTAATATTGAAATTCTAATTCTATATAAATTGAATATAAACAGTTTTGATTTTTATATTAAATGTACACCACAAGTAAAAAACATAACAAACACAAAACAGTTTTATTTTCATACATTCAATTCATAATTCAAAATTGAACTAATAAATATATTTAATGTGTTTCGGCTATTGATATCAAAAATATTTGTTACTGTTGAAATTAATAATAGAAAAGAAAAAAAAACAAATCTAACAAAATAAATCTAAATATGAAATAACAAAAAATGATTACAACACTCGAAGATATTATACCTCGGAAGATACTAAAAAATAACAACTGCTGATAAATGTCGATAATATTACCAAACAGACAGAAAAAAAAAAAAAACAAGCAAACAAAATTCCAACCGAACGTATAAAAATTCACATTAAAAATAATATAAAAGTCTTTTCTTAATCCAATTTTAAAAGTGCATAGATAATTCGAGATGAAAATTCAAACAATTCAATCTTATTATCAACTCCTAACCCTTTTTTTCACGAGATAGCAGCTGGGCCAGTCGAAAAATAGGGAAGCTGAGTGAAAAAAAAAAAGAAAACAGAAATAAAAAAGAAATAACGATTAATAAAAAAATATATATAATTAAAAAAAAAAACGAGCAGAAAAATGAAAACAGATGCAACGTAAGAATTATAATGCAATCGCGAATTCGATATTACAAAACGGAAACGAAAGATATCGTGTTCTCCTCGAAAATTAGCAACTAGAAAAAGAAAAAGAAAGGAAGAAAGAAAAAATAAAAATAAAAATAAAAGAAATCTGAGACCCTCTGACCGAAGAAAATGACAAAGGGCTAGCGAGGCAACTACGAACACACCTAAATACGCACACGCATACATATATACATTTACATATATATAGTGTGTAGGGAATATAAGAAACGACAAAAGGATTAAATTGACCCCACCCCATATAAAATAAATGTCCGCTCTCGTTTCTCTCTTCAACCATATATGTAGAAATGCACTCATACATAGAAATAAAAGCAACCTAAATGCATAAGCAACCTCGACCTATTCTCCTGTTCGGTGATGTAATTTTAGAGGTTCTCTCGAAGAGAAAAAAAACAAGAAAGCCAGCCAATCAGTCAGTCACATTACCTTTTCTTATCAGACTCCATTCTGAACTAATGCAAATCGTGCACGGAAATACCGACTTGTGTTCACACAATCCCCCCCCCCTCCCCCTCTTACCCCCCGCAAACCCCCATGCAACCCTTAATACTAACTAAAACTTTCTCAACGTACCTTCGTGTATTTTAGAATAGTCAAAAGTACAATGGTGTCTTCTGTAGAAAATTTCTTCTAACTAATTTCATTATCGTATCCGTATATACTTTGTTTATTATAATACTATTTATAGAATTTTTCTATTTTTCTGCCGAAATACACTTTAATCATTTAACAGTATCATCGTTATCATCATTATCGTTTCATTATAGTAATTACCAATTTTAATGCCTTACTTGTACTCTCATATACATGTTAACCCTTTTATTTCTCCCTTCAATCTCCCCTCCCTCCCTTTATCCTCAAGTGTGTTTTTTTTTTGTAGCTAACACTCACATTTTTTCAGGTTAACTGTCGGGGATCAACAAACTTCAAGGAAGGGAAGTCAACAGGACTACTATTTAACTTGGGATCATTAGAAGCCAATCAAGGATGCAGAATCAATCGGGTGCAGCTACAACTCTAATCGATAATTATACTTAGAATGATTAATTAATTATTCGAAAAGAAGAAGATGAAGAAACAAGAAGAAAAAGAAGAAAAAAAAAGAAGAAGAAGAAGAAGAATACTCTAGAATTCAAAGAAGATAATAGAAATGATCTAGATGATAATCAAGAATATTAACAGAGACTATTCCAGATCAAGTGAATTATTTAATATTTCGAATAATAATTTATCTGAAAGTATTATGGGGACATTTATTTAACGGGAAAGCTATGAATTTAATCATGCTCAATGACCGATCTCTTTTGTCGTTGTTGTTATTATTGTTGTTGTTGTTATCGTCATCGTTAATGTTACATTAGACTGAAAATAATTTTCATTTTCAAGAAAAAAAATACCGAAAATTAATAATCGTGAAAACAACATGTATTGACAATGGTGTGGATGCTTGAAAATAATCAAAGACAATAATCTGTTAGAAAAAAAATCACAGAGGCATCGCGATAATACAATTTTTAATTGAATAATCATATCTAGTCGATACGCAAATCGAAGTTAACTGATACGAATTGATGAAAAAAAATTACATCGAAAAATAAAGGAATAAATATCTGAAGAATCGTTGACCATACGAAAAGAAAAAATATATGGTTCACTAATAAAAATAAAATAAAACCAAATTCCAAAGTAATATCAAAAGAGAATCAAAGAAACTAACATAGCAAAAATAAAAAAAAATAAAATGGAAGCTAATAGATCCAACTTTGCAGTTTCTAACATTAATAACGCGAATATCGAATATCAAATATAATTCAAATAAATAAAAATAATTGAAGATAATCGATGATAATCCAGGAAGAAAGACGAAATTCAAAAAATCAATTGTACCTTATGAAGAAAAAAATCAAAAGAAAAAGAAATAATCGTATAACAAACTATATTGATGAAAAAATATCCATCGAAATATCTATCGAAAAAACATTTATCGATACATCATCTAATCAAAATATCTTACGAACAAAAATGATACAAAAGATAGAAAAGAAAAATATTTATCGAAATATCTATAAAAACAAATGAAAGAAAATAAAACACCCCAAAGAAGATAAACGCAAATATCTAATAAAATTTCAACGTAGAAATATATAAGAAATGATAGTTGAAAAAAAAAACTGAACAAAAATCAACGCTGCATTCGTAGAGAAGAAAAGTAACACAAAAGCAACAAAAAGAAAAAAATCCCCAAAAAAAATACAGAAAAAGAAACGGGACTCTTTTCAGACCCTAATTCTTCGTTACATTTATTAAATGATCTTTAATGATCAGGAAAAAAGAACTAAAATAAATCGTAATCATACGTGCGAACAAAAAAAAATATCAGATATTTTCGTAGAGGAAGGTACATCTCGTACCTTGAAAACAGTCAAAGAAGAAGTTCGATGAAACCACTTTGAAGCATCACTTCGTGACACATCGTTAGTAATAACAATTCAAATATTTCACAGCAGTTGCTCGGAAAAAAGGAAAAACAAAGAAAACACGAGAAATAAAATTGATCGTTTGATGATCCAAGTCGAAGTCGATAAAAACGATGATCTTAACTCAGGTGATCTAAAACTTGAGATAAAACCATTTGAAGAAGCAGAATTACTCTCACTCATGCAATAGAATTTCGTTAAATTTCTACACCTATTATTATTTACAGAAATATTAACAAGGATTCTTCACACACACATACATTTTCTTTATAGAAGAAAAAAGCAAAAAAAAAAAAAGAAGGAAAGAAGAAGAAGAAGAAGAAAACGAACAAACCAAAATGACAAAACTCAAAAGAGAAACAAATCGACAATTTTTTCTTCGTCTTCTAATGAAATATAATATATCAGGAAACGTTCACATATATATATGTTTCTGATCACGAGCCTCACATATTTAATCGTCGTGTTTGAATCGCGCTACATTCAACGAAAGTAAAAAAAAGAAAAAAAAAAAGAAATGATCTACAATGCCGAACGTCAAAGTTTCGTGCAAAGTACAAAAAAAAATGAAATAAAAAAAAAATGGATAGAAAAGTTCTGACTGTCATCAAACGATCCATATCTAATGTAATAATTTTTGTAATTAATCTCGCAAAGAGAAGCACAAACGATTACATCGTTTTTTTTTTGAAAGATATTTTTATTCGAAAGACACGTAATTATTCGTATAAATGAATACGCCCCTTCGATATATTCAATATCGTATTATATAGAATTATTTGAAAAGAATTATTATCTTCAATATTTATAATTGGTCCGTTAAGAAACAATGGAATTTAGATTCTCTATCGAAATATTCATTTCGATTCGAAGAGTCGAGAAATTTATCGGGCGCAGAATTGTTCATTTGTCTCTACATATATATATTAATATATATAACAATAAATAATACCAAATTAATATTTTATTCACAGTGAATAATAATAATAGAACGGAATTTGTTTGAATAATAGTCTGCAATATATAGCATCGTCATAACACAAAAATGAAAACAAAAATACATATATACGTGATCGATATTGCAGCTACGCTTACACATCTACTAACAATTACATTTGATTACGATAGAAATTGTGAATTTTTGTTATTAAAACTAAAAAAAAAGAAGAAAATACAATTCAATATTAATTACATCGGGGCCAAACGGAAGAAACTAATAATCGCTCGATTAAAATACAGCATCACCTCATATTTTTACTATATTCGTTAAAGAACAATATTCAATTCTGTTCTGATCGAATGGATGATGCAAAGTGAAAATAACAAAACGAAAATAATAATAATTAAACGTGTCTTCTCTACTGAAACGTTTACTACGATTTCAAAATCAAACGCTTAATAAAATAATACACGAGATAGGAAAAAATAATTGTCAAATATATAAAATAAAAAAAACATCGAAACAATTCTCATTTGTGATATCAAAAAAGTTGATGAAAATTGTTCGAATGTAAAACGAGCACACTGCTGATACTCGAAGAAAAAAACCCCTTCAAAATCACACAACGAAATCATCGATTTTTAATTGTTCTAATCAAAGCACAATGGTCTCACCGGTATTTAAAATAAAAAATCCAAATCGAATAAACAAATTGTATACGAAAAAATATACGTAAACAGATAATATAATTCGCATTATCTTACTCGTACACGCCACATCGACGATTAAGATAAAAAAACAAAGTATAATTCTGAGATCGAAAATACTTCGAAGATAATACTCGAAAGAAATAATTAAACGAATCTATCTGAAAAGAAAAAAAATCTGTTTATGAACGTGATATCTATTGTCGAATATGTCAAAACGAAAACAACAAGGAGAATCGAGATATACTTTCAAGGATTAATGTTATTTGCACGTAGACGTTAGAAGCGTAAACATGTGGGTACAATCATCAATCATCGTGGGATTTCAATTTAGAAGATTGGCCAACATCGTGGGATTCACATTCACCGATAAAAAGTAATATATTTTTTTTTATTTTATTTCTTTTAATATATTATAGTTATTTATTTAATTTAATATTATCTGCTCGACAACATTTTTATTCGACAAAATAATAATAATAATATTTCAATAATAAATGATAGAATATTGTTGCGAAAACTTTGACACAATTGGAATTTATAATAATATATTTTGTTAATCTAATTTCTCTGGCAAATGTTACTAACGTTTAACAACAAAATTCAAACTATTATTATACGAAATAAAATTAAAACAATTTTAAAATATGAATTAATCATCATCGAGTCGAGCAGGTAAAAGTATTTTAGATTTTATTTATATTACAAACATTTTTGTATTTTTTATTTCGTATCATTTATTTTATTTTATTACTTTATATTATTATATTTATAAAATATAATTTAGATGTAACATTAATAATAGTAAAAATAAGTACGCTGATGCTCTCTCCACAAAAATCGTGACAGCTGTTTAGTCGTAAGCTTAGGATACGTGTTAATCTAAGTTCTTAAAATTATTTTCTTTTTCTTTTTTTTTTCTCTTTTCTATTAATTTTTCATTAATATCATTTTATTCTATTATTTTTTTTTTTTTTTTTTTTTAAATTCGGTCACGTATTTCTGTAAAACTGCTAACATGATCATACCAATTTTGCAACAAAAAATCACCTAACTTAAGTTATTCAAATATGTACAAACATTTACGTTTAGATCAAATTACGAAACGAAATTGAAGGAACTTAAAAAAAAAAATTAAAAAAACTTCAAAACTTTACATTGAAATAATCGAATAAATTTTCAGAATAAATCTATGGTTGTTAGCCGTTTCAAGATATTACGTGTTTTAACTTATCATTACTTTTATTTCTATTCATTTATTTTTCGTTTATTTCGTTTTGTTTATAAAAAAAAGAAAACAAAGTATACGAAGAAGTAGAAAAAAAGAAAATTATAAAAAAAAAGGAAAGAAAAGTACACTTACCTCGGCAAATGAATCTAAAAAGGAAAAGTAATATTCTGATTCATTGAATTTTATTTTATAGAAAGAAAAAAAAAACCAAAAAACAAGAAAAAAACAAACAAAAAGAAATGAATGTAAAGATATTCCGGTTGTTACTCGATAAACAAAGTTTAATACGAATATCATTGTTAAAGATTTAACGAAAATGGGGAAATAATTATACAAGTACGATATTCGATAGAACGAAACGAAATAATTATTTGTATGAAATAAAATAAATAAAAAAAAAAAAAAGAATCGAAAATGATTTCAATTGTAATAATAAAAATATATACATATTTTTATTTCGTTAAATAAGTATTTCTTCTATCAAATATCGCACTCAACAAAGCTGAAACTTTTTGAACGATCCATAAATAGTTATCCGTTTCAAAAAGTCGGCATTTAATTAAATTTTAATTATATACAATATTTTTTTATTATTTTTTTTTTTTTTATATCTTTATTTCTATATTTTATTTTATTCTTTATATTATATATTCATTACTTCATTTTCACATCACATCTGACGTGTATCGTAAAATAGCTCATTTCTTTTAATTTTCATTTTATTTAAATTAATTTCTTTCGAAAAAAAAAATACGAAACAATATCTGATCGTAATTTATTTATACAAAATTCAACAATATTTCATTTGAAACGTTTACAGAAATATTATTCGTTGATTTATTATAAAATATTTTTTACAGTATATGTACGCGATCATATAAAATTTACAATAATTTTATTCTTTTTAATTTCTACGAACACAAACATACATTTTTTTAGATTGATTTAAATACGATCAGATATTGAAGATTCAATATTTATTTAATTATTTTTGATTTATTAACAGCTGACATTGAAGCGTTAAATGGATAATATACCGGTGAATAAGATTAGGTTTTGCATTTTATATTATCGATTACGAACATATATAACAAAAAAAATCGAACTTCAATTAATATTTTTAAAAATATTTTCGAAATTTGTAGTATTTAAAATTCATTTAGAATATTAAAGATATAATGTTAATTCGGTTTCTGTCAAAGTATTTTTACCGTTTTATATATATATAGAATTTAGAATAATTTAACAATAGATTAATCATAAACTACAGAAATTACATATTAAACTTATACAAGTATAATCAGGATAATTTATTATAGTTATTACGTAGACAATCATAATTTTTATTAAAATTTTACTTAAAGAACTTTGAAAAAATATTTAAAAAAAAAAAAAAAAAAAACAAATTAATAGACAAATTGATCCAAAAGAATAAAATCGATTACGACCGATTTCATTCTTCATCGTTTCTCTATTAATTTTTTCTACAAAAATATTAATGATTACTATAAACTAACAAGTATTTAATACTAACTTTTTACTTTGTAGTTTTTAGTTAACATTTATTTTAAAAGAATCTTATATGTTAAGAAAATAGTTAATATTAAAATATAATAACTATAATTATAGATTACTATGATTTTTCGTATCGATACGATTATTATTATTTTATATTTACATGCTCATATATAACTAATTATTTTTAAATTACAGTTATGTCAAGTTACATTAACGAGAAGGGGCCCCTTATAACTTTTCTTTTATTTTTTTTATTTTTATTTTATTTTATTTTATTTTATTATTTTATTATTTTATTATTTATTTATTCATTTATTTTATTTGTTAATTTCTTTAAACACTGTTGAAAAAGTATTATCCCTTTTTTATTTCGTTTTTTGATTTAATTTCACCAAGGAAAATCTCGCGCACTACAATTTTATTACACGAATTTAAAATTCACCAACACCTAGATGTTTTATTGATTATGTTAATTAACAAAGAACGTTTCCGTTGAGTTATCGTTAAAAATCGTTGAATTTCCGTTTGTATAATATAAATTTTCAATTTGTTTTCTCGTTGAGTTATCTGTTTTTTGTTCTCTTATTGATTGTTATTTAGAAAATTGTAACATTGGTGTTGCATCGTTACATCTTCAATGTTGAAAACATCCATTTATTTCTGTTTAGTATAAAATTCTGTTTTTGTTAACAACTCTGTTTTATTTTTAAAATTTACTTTCCGTTCGAAATCTGTTAAGTTTCAATCATTAACGTTGTGATACACGTTTGTTCTCCAATGTAATTTTCATCGTCGCATTTCATCGTTAATTGTTCATTGTTTGAATATTGTTGAGTTTCCAAAATCATATTATATATCAAACAGTTTAGAAAATCTGTTAATTTGACCATTGTTGTTACAATTTAAACATTCTTCTCTTCTTGTTTTCATTCACATTTGTTATTCCTTTAGCATAACTTTCTTACAACTTCCATGATTTTCAGTTTCAGAATTCTTCTAAATTTCCATAAACCAATTGTGTGAATTAATAATTATGTTTTACTTCCATTCGATTACAAACCATTATTTCCGTCAAATTGGTCATATTGCTGTTAATATTGCTTTTAATGTTCTTTAAT